GTATGTTCTGCTATGCTACATATTGATGCTTAGGGTTAGATTTATAGCTGCAGTGCTACAGTCCTGTCCAAGGAGTTGTAATGAAGAAGCACCACATCAAGGGGATCAACAGAGAGAAAATGCACTTCAGCGAAGCATGTATCTACACCATCTGTTAGGCTGGTATAGAATGCTTTCCAAGGCCTTTTCTGCAGGCCAAAGCAGGAGGCAGGTTCATAATACCACCCATAATCCTGTTCTCCCCTCCCTGAGGCTGTTTGGTCATTCTGATCATCAGAGAAACAACTCCCTAGTGCCATCATGGGTGGCCATCTAACCAGTGACATACTGTGGGTCTCCAGTGCCTGGAGGCCAATGCTTGTATTTGCACCTCTTTCCCCCCCCATCCTTTGCATCAGACATTCCTCCACTCCTGCCCTGGCCCTGTTTGGTTACCTGTTTCATCCAGGAAGGAAATAAAAGTCCCGACACACCGGACATGGCAGGGGAGCGGGGGGGCATGGCCAGAATTTCCAGCCAGAACAGGTAAGTAAACACCCAACCTGCAGGTCTGGTAGGCAGGTTAATCAACAAATGTGGCTGCCACCCACACAGTAAGAAATCTGAAGGGTCTATCCAGTACTCCCCTGCTGGGCCGGTGCCCAGGGGCCATGGCCCCCTCCCCCCCCGCCGTCAGTCCACCATTGCCTCCAACAGTAGTGCAAGGTCTTGCTTCCTTGAGATGTGATGGGAGAACAGTTAGGTTAGGGACAGACATTCAAAAAACCTGAGCCTGAATTGATTCAATCTTTGCAGGTTAGTCTAATCTGGCTAGGCTGAACCAGTTTGTAACTGTACAGAGATTCCCCTCTGGACTGAAGAAATGAAGACGCATGCCTGCCGTGGCTCAGGCTAGAAGCCAGGGGGCACTAGAGCATCCCTCCCTTCCCTTTTTACAGTGCTGAACTGAGGGGGGCATGGCCAGGCCCCAGCAGGATGCTCTGATTAGGGAACTTCCGCCCCCCCCCCCCCCCCCCTCTCCTCA